TGTGTCACACCGTGTGTGTGTGTGTGTGTGTCTCACACCGTGTGTGTGTGTGTGTCTCACACACCGTGTGTGTGTGTGTCACACCGTGTGTGTGTGTGTGTCACACCGTGTGTGTGTGTGTGTGTCTCACACCGTGTGTGTGTCTCTCACACCGTGTGTGTGTGTCACACCGTGTGTGTGTGTGTGTCACACCGTGTGTGTGTCTCTCACACCGTGTGTGTGTGTGTGTCTCACACCGTGTGTGTGTGTGTCTCACACCGTGTGTGTGTCTCTCACACCGTGTGTGTGTGTGTGTCTCACACCGTGTGTGTGTGTGTGTCTCACACCGTGTGTGTGTGTGTGTCTCACACCGTGTGTGTGTGTGTCTCACACCGTGTGTGTGTGTGTGTCTCACACCGTGTGTGTGTGTGTGTCTCACACCGTGTGTGTGTGTGTCTCTCACACCGTGTGTGTGTGTGTGTGTCACACCGTGTGTGTGTGTGTGTCTCACACCGTGTGTGTGTGTGTGTCTCACACCGTGTGTGTGTGTGTGTCTCACACCGTGTGTGTGTGTGTGTGTCTCACACCGTGTGTGTGTGTGTGTGTCTCACACCGTGTGTGTGTGTGTGTCTCACACCGTGTGTGTGTGTGTGTGTCTCACACCGTGTGTGTGTGTGTGTGTCTCACACCGTGTGTGTGTGTGTGTCTCACACACCGTGTGTGTGTGTGTCTCACACCGTGTGTGTGTGTGTCTCACACCGTGTGTGTGTGTGTCTCACACCGTGTGTGTGTGTGTCTCTCACCGTGTGTGTGTGTGTCTCTCACCGTGTGTGTGTGTGTCTCACACCGTGTGTGTGTGTGTGTCTCACACCGTGTGTGTGTGTGTGTCTCACACCGTGTGTGTGTGTGTGTCTCACACCGTGTGTGTGTGTGTGTCTCACACCGTGTGTGTGTGTGTCACACTGTGTGTGTGTGTGTGTCACACCGTGTGTGTGTGTGTGTCACACCGTGTGTGTGTGTGTGTGTCACACCGTGTGTGTGTGTGTGTGTCACACCGTGTGTGTGTGTGTCACACCGTGTGTGTGTGTGTGTCACACCGTGTGTGTGTGTGTGTCACACCGTGTGTGTGTGTGTGTGTCTCACACCGTGTGTGTGTGTGTGTCTCACACCGTGTGTGTGTGTGTGTCTCACACCGTGTGTGTGTGTCACACCGTGTGTGTGTGTGTGTCACACCGTGTGTGTGTGTGTGTCACACCGTGTGTGTGTGTGTCTCTCACACCGTGTGTGTGTGTCTCTCACACCGTGTGTGTGTGTGTCTCACACCGTGTGTGTGTGTGTGTCTCACACCGTGTGTGTGTGTGTCTCACACCGTGTGTGTGTGTCTCACACCGTGTGTGTGTGTCTCACCGTGTGTGTGTGTGTGTGTCACACCGTGTGTGTGTGTCTCACACCGTGTGTGTGTGTCTCACACCGTGTGTGTGTGTCTCACCGTGTGTGTGTGTGTGTGTCTCACACCGTGTGTGTGTGTGTGTGTGTGTCACACCGTGTGTGTGTGTGTGTGTCTCACACCGTGTGTGTGTGTGTGTGTGTGTCTCACACCGTGTGTGTGTGTGTGTGTCTCACACCGTGTGTGTGTGTGTGTCTCACACCGTGTGTGTGTGTGTGTCTCACACCGTGTGTGTGTGTGTGTCTCACACCGTGTGTGTGTGTGTGTCTCACACCGTGTGTGTGTGTGTGTCTCACACCGTGTGTGTGTGTGTGTCTCACACCGTGTGTGTGTGTGTGTCTCACACCGTGTGTGTGTGTGTGTCTCACACCGTGTGTGTGTGTGTCACACCGTGTGTGTGTGTGTCACACCGTGTGTGTGTGTCTCACACCGTGTGTGTGTGTGTGTCTCACACCGTGTGTGTGTGTGTGTGTCACACCGTGTGTGTGTGTGTGTGTCACACCGTGTGTGTGTCACACCGTGTGTGTGTGTGTGTCACACCGTGTGTGTGTCACACCGTGTGTGTGTGTGTGTCACACCGTGTGTGTGTCACACCGTGTGTGTGTCACACCGTGTGTGTGTCACACCGTGTGTGTGTGTGTGTCACACCGTGTGTGTGTGTGTGTGTGTCACACCGTGTGTGTGTGTGTCTCACCGTGTGTGTGTGTGTGTCACACTGTGTGTGTGTGTGTGTCACACCGTGTGTGTGTGTGTGTCACACCGTGTGTGTGTGTGTGTCACACCGTGTGTGTGTGTGTGTGTCACACCGTGTGTGTGTGTCTCACACCGTGTGTGTGTGTGTCACACCGTGTGTGTGTGTGTCTCTCACACCGTGTGTGTGTGTGTCTCTCACACCGTGTGTGTGTGTGTGTGTCTCACACCGTGTTTGTGTGTGTGTCTCACACCGTGTGTGTGTGTGTGTCACACCGTGTGTGTGTGTGTCACACCGTGTGTGTGTGTGTGTCACACCGTGTGTGTGTGTGTCACACCGTGTGTGTGTGTGTGTGTCTCACACCGTGTGTGTGTGTGTCACACCGTGTGTGTGTGTGTGTCTCCCCCCCTACCCCCCCCCCCCCCCGTGTTCCCCAGACGCTCTTTGCCAGAGTCTCGTGTTTATATTTCTCACGGCCTGGGGTAATGGATGGGGGGTGAGGGCGTGGGGAGTGAGGGGGGAGGGGTGAGGGGGGAGGGGAGGGGTGAGGGGAGGGGTGAGGGGAGGGGTGAGGGGAGGGGGTGAGGGGAGGGGTGAGGGGAGGGGTGGGTGTGTGGGGTGAGGTGCTGTGAGGTTATTGGTGAGGGCCAGGGATGTGGGTGAGCAGTGAGGGAAGGGTGGAGGGGGGTGGTGGTGGTGGGTGAGTGAAGGTGACAGTGCTGGGGGTGAGGTGAGTGGTGATTGTGGCACAGCAGTCAGCCCACGTCACCTGCACCTAGCCTGGCACAGCAGTCAACGCACGTCACCTGCTGGGTCTGTCCCGTGACCTCCTCCTGCACCTAGCCTGGCACAGCAGTCAACCTGTGTCACCTGCAGGATCTGTCTCGTGACCTCCTCCTCGTGCACCTAGCCTGGCACAGCAGTCAGCCCACGTCACCTGCAGGGTCTGTCCCGTGACCTCGTGCACCTAGCCTGGCACAGCAGTCAACCCACGGCACCTGCAGGGTCTGTCCCGTGACCTCTTCGTGCACCTAGCCTGGCACAGCAGTCAACCCACGGCACCTGCACCTAGCCTGGCACAGCAGTCAACCCACGGCACCTGCTGGGTCTGTCCCGTGACCTCGTGCACCTAGCCTGGCACAGCAGTCAACCCACGGCACCTGCAGGATCTGTCTCGTGACCTCGTGCACCTAGCCTGGCACAGCAGTCAACCCACGGCACCTGCTGTGTCTGTCCCTCCTGCAGGCAGAGAGCCTTCGACACTTTGCGTGACGGCCTCAAAGTGCACCTAGCCTGGCACAGGCGTCGTGGTGACGTCACCGCCACTTTGGTGGCGAACGGCGGGAACTGGTGTTGGAGTGATTGGGGCTGAGGTGCTGTGTGTAGAACTTCTTTCATACCGTACGTAGCCACCCGTGCTGTGTGTGTGTGAACTTTATTCACACCGTACGTGGGGGTGGGTGGGGGGGGAAACACAACAAACTAAACACAACAACAACAACAAACTAAACACAACAACAACAACAAACTAAACACAACAACAAACTAAACACAACAACAACAACAAACTAAACACAACAACAACAAACTAAACACAACAACAACAACAAACTAAACACAACAACAACAACAAACTAAACACAACAACAACAACAAACTAAACACAACAACAACAAACTAAACACAACAACAACAACAAACTAAACACAACAGCAACAACAACAAACTAAACACAACAGCAACAACAACAAACTAAACACAACAACAACAAACTAAACACAACAACAACAACAAACTAAACACAACAACAACAACAACAAACTAAACACAACAACAACAACAACAAACTAAACACAACAACAACAACAAACTAAACACAACAACAACAACAACAACAAACTAAACACAACAACAACAACAACAAACTAAACACAACAACAACAACAAACTAAACACAACAACAACAAACTAAACACAACAACAACTAAACACAACAACAACAACAAACTAAACACAACAACAACAACAAACTAAACACAACAACAACAACAAACTAAACACAACAACAACAACAAACTAAACACAACAACAACAACAAACTAACACAACAACAACAACAACAAACTAAACACAACAACAACAACAACAAACTAAACACAACAACAACAACAAACTAAACACAACAACAACAACAAACTAAACACAACAACAACAACAACAAACTAAACACAACAACAACAACAACAAACTAAACACAACAACAACAACAACAAACTAAACACAACAACAACAACAACAAACTAAACACAACAACAACAACAACAAACTAAACACAACAACAACAACAACAAACTAAACACAACAACAACAACAACAACAAACTAAACACAACAACAACAACAACAACAAACTAAACACAACAACAACAACAACAACAAACTAAACACAACAACAACAACAACAACAAACTAAACACAACAACAACAACAACAACAAACTAAACACAACAACAACAACAACAAACTAAACACAACAACAACAACAACAAACTAAACACAACAACAACAACAACAAACTAAACACAACAACAACAACAACAAACTAAACACAACAACAACAACAACAAACTAAACACAACAACAACAACAAACTAAACACAACAACAACAACAACAAGAAGCAGTCCTCAAGAAATGAGTTTGCCGATCTAGACGATGATTTACCAGTGCCATAGCTCCCAGTCGCTTCCTCTAACCGGAAGCAAGAGCGTTCCAGACGGCCGCACGGCGACAATGCAGTAACCGTGGTCTTTGTTCGACGCGCAGAGTTTTCGTGATATCGCCATCATCCCCCTCCCCCCCCTCTCTCTCTCTCACGTGTCCAGGTTCCAAGGGGGCCAGGGCCTGGTGCTGTACCCCCAGATCGGGGATAAGCTCGACATCATTTGCCCCCACGAGTTCCGCCCGGCGGGGGCCCAGGGGGCGGCCCCCTACGAGTACCACCGCCTCTACGTGGTGAGCAGGGAGCAGGCGGACAGGTGAGATCCTCGCCCTACTCGCTCGCTCAACTCGTCCAATCGTTGAACCTACGTGCCTGCTCGCCCGCTCGCCCACCCGCTCGCCCACCCACTTGCTCGTTCACCTGATTGCTCGCCCACCCGCTCGTTCACCCACTTGCTCGTTCACCTGTTAGCTCGCCCACCCGCTCGTTCACCCACTTGCTCGCCCACCCGCTCATTCACCCACCCGCTCGCCCACCCACTCGTTCACCCACTTGCTCGTTCACCTGTTAGCTCACCCACCCGCTCGCTCACCCACTTGCTCGCCCACCCGCTCGTTCACCCACCCGCTCGCCCACCCACTCGTTCACCCACTTGCTCGTTCACCTGTTAGCTCGCCCACCCGCTCACCCACCCGCTCGTTCACCCACTTGCTCACCCGCTCGCCCACTCGCTGGCCACCCGCACCACAATACCCGCTGGCACGCTCACATCGGACCCAAGGCCCGCAATGCTTGACCGCGGCTGGGCCTGGCTTGGGACTGGCGCTGGCTCCCATGAGCCACGGGCCCTTGGTTTGGTGCCAGTCACACTCAGCCTGAGCCGTGCCTGAGTGTTACAGGCTGAGCCTGAACCATGCCTGAGTGTTACAGGCTGAGTCTGAACCATACCTGAGTGTTACAGGCTGAGCCTGAACCATGCCTGAGTGATACAGGCTTAGCCTGAACCGTGCCTGAGTGTTACAGGCTGAGCCTGAACCCTGCCTGAGTGTTACAGGCTGAGCCTGAACCATGCCTGAGTGCTACAGGCTGAGCCTGAACCATGCCTGAGTGTTACAGGCTGAGCCTGAACCATGCCTGAGTGTTACAGGCTGAGCCTGAACCATGCCTGAGTGCTACAGGCTGAGCCTGAACCGTGCCTGAGTGTTACAGGCTGAGCCTGAACCCTGCCTGAGTGTTACAGGCTGAGCCTGAACCATGCCTGAGTGCTACAGGCTGAGCCTGAACCATGCCTGAGTGTTACAGGCTGAGCCTGAACCATGCCTGAGTGTTACAGGCTGAGCCTGAACCGTGCCTGAGTGTTACAGGCTGAGCCTGAACCGTGCCTGAGTGTTACAGGCTGAACCTGAACCATGCCTGAGTGTTACAGGCTGAACCTGAACCATGCCTGAGTGTTACAGGCTGAGCCTGAACCGTGCCTGAGTGCTACAGGCTGTGCCTGAACCCTGCCTGAGTGTTACAGGCTGAGCCTGAACCGTGCCTGAGTGTTACAGGCTGAGCCTGAACCATGCCTGAGTGTTACAGGCTGAGCCTGAACCATGCCTGAGTGCTACAGGCTGAGCCTGAACCGTGCCTGAGTGTTACAGGCTGAGCCTGAACCATGCCTGAGTGTTACAGGCTGAGCCTGAACCATGCCTGAGTGTTACAGGCTGAGCCTGAACCATGCCTGAGTGTTTACAGGCTGAACCTGAACCGTGCCTGAGTGTTTACAGGCTGAACCTGAACCGTGCCTGAGTGTTACAGGCTGAGCCTGAACCATGCCTGAGTGTTTACAGGCTGAGTCTGAACCGTGCCTGAGTGTTACAGGCTGAGCCTGAACCATGTCTGAGTGTTACAGGCTGAGCCTGAACCATGCCTGAGTGTTACAGGCTGAGCCTGAACCATGCCTGAGTGTTTACAGGCTGAACCTGAACCGTGCCTGAGTGTTTACAGGCTGAACCTGAACCGTGCCTGAGTGTTACAGGCTGAGCCTGAACCATGCCTGAGTGTTTACAGGCTGAGTCTGAACCGTGCCTGAGTGTTACAGGCTGAGCCTGAACCATGCCTGAGTGTTACAGGCTGAGCCTGAACCATGCCTGAGTGTTACAGGCTGAGCCTGAACCATGCCTGAGTGTTTACAGGCTGAACCTGAACCGTGCCTGAGTGTTTACAGGCTGAACCTGAACCGTGCCTGAGTGTTACAGGCTGAGCCTGAACCATGCCTGAGTGTTTACAGGCTGAGCCTGAACCGTGCCTGAGTGTTACAGGCTGAGCCTGAACCATGTCTGAGTGTTACAGGCTGAGCCTGAACCATGCCTGAGTGTTACAGGCTGAGCCTGAACCATGCCTGAGTGTTACAGGCTGAGCCTGAACCATGCCTGAGTGCTACAGGCTGAGCCTGAGCCGTGCCTGAACCGTGCCTGAGTGCTACAGGCTGAGCCTGAACCGTGCCTGAACCGTGCCTGAGTGCTACAGGCTGAACCTGAGCTATGACTCTGCTTGGCCTGAGACAACGATGCCCAGCGCTGAGAGTGCCGACTGCATCAACGCCTTCCCAACTGCTCGCTCGCTCTCGTCCCCAGGGTGCTGTGGAGCAAACTCTCTCGCTCGCTCCCCCTCTCTCCAAACTCTTCCTCCAACTCTTGAGTCTCTCCCATCTCTGTCTCCCACTCCCCCCGCCTCTCTCTCTCTCTGTCTCTCTCCGCCGTGTTGACGGAAATTGGCTTTAATTGGCGGAAAAGCGGACTCGGCTCTCGGCGATTTCCTGCCGCCGATACCGGCCCCATAATTGTCGGAAACGTCGCTTCCTTCGCTGGAGGGCCGGCGGGCGGGGGGGGGGGGTGACTCGTCTGGGACTCACCGGGCCTGGCTGAGCACTGGGGACTGGCTGAGCGTTGGGGCCTGGCTGAGCGTTGGGGCCTGGCTGAGCATTGGGGCCTGGCTGAGCGTTGGGGCCTGGCTGAGCGTTGGGGCCTGGCTGAGCGCTGGTGCCTCTCGTGAACACCACTGTGGCTATGAGATGTTGACTACCTCGCCTGGTGTACAGGAGGTCGTGGGTTCCATCCCGACCCTAACTGCTGCTGTATATTTGGAGTCTGCGTCTCTCTCTTTCCTCATCATCACGGTGGCTAGGAGATGTTGACTACCTCGCCTGGTGTACAGGAGGTCGTGGGTTCGATCCCGACCCTAACTGCTGCTGTATATTTGGAGTCTGCGTCTCTCATCATCATCATCACGGTGGCTATGAGATGTTGACTACCTCGCCTGGTGTACAGGAGGTCGTGGGTTCCATCCCGACCCTAACTGCTGCTGTATATTTGGAGTCTGCGTCTCTCATCATCATCATCACGGTGGCTATGAGATGTTGACTACCTCGCCTGGTGTACAGGAGGTCGTGGGTTCCATCCCGACCCTGACGATGCCTGCTGCTGCTTCTGCTGTAGATTTGGAGATGGCATGTGTCTCTCTCCGCGTGCTCGCGTGCATTTTTCTCCGAGTCCTCCGGTTTCCCCCCCCCCCCCCTCCACATTTAGAATGGACGACACGCGTTTTATATAAACTCGACGTCCTCTAATATCAACTATAAACAAACAAGTGACAGAGCTCATTAATGTAGGGGAGGGTGGGGGGGGGGAGAGAGTCCATTTTAGACATTGAATATCGGCAAGAGAATCTTAAAATCTTCTTTGGTTCTTTCGGTAAAGTCACGTAGAGTGAGAATAAAATACTAAAATAACACAATAAAATTCTCACGACGTTTCGGCCACAACGCAAGCGGCCGTCTTCAGGTGGAAGGAACAGACCTGTCGGGACGACAGAGCTTCAGTGAACGCTGTTAAGATTCGTAGCGACTTTTAAGCTGGTTGGGAGAAGTGAGGCACCTTGACAAATGGGGTTTACATATCAAATAGCTGAGGGATTAGCTTGTGACTGGTCACAGAAATGGCTATGTTAAAGTCAAAACCTACACATCCACAGAGGCAACTAGTAATTTAGCATTGAAATAGCTAAGGGATTAGCTTGTGACTGGTCACAGAAATAGATGTTAAAGTAAAGGCCTACACATCCACAGAGCTTCAGTGAACGCTGTTAAGATTCGTAGCGACTTTTAAGCTGGTTGGGAGAAGTGAGGCACCTTGACAAAGGGGGTTTACATATCAAATAGCTGAGGGATTAGCTTGTGACTGGTCACAGAAATGGCTATGTTAAAGTCAAAACCTACACATCCACAGAGGCAACTAGTAATTTAGCATTGAAATAGCTAAGGGATTAGCTTGTGACTGGTCACAGGAATGGCTATGTTAAAGTCAAAACCTACACATCCACAGAAAGCAACTAGTAATTTAGCATTGAAATAGCTAAGGGATTAGCTTGTGGCTGGTCACAGGAATAGATGTTAAAGTAAAGGCCTACACATCCACAGAGCTTCAACGAACGCTGTTAAATTATTCTCATCCGACGTGGTGACTTCACCGAAAGAACCAAAGACGATGAATCCTTGCAGTCACGGAAGCTTTAAATGGAAATCTTAAAATCAATACCAGAGGGGTACGGACAGGGAGCCAGTGATGTTGCGCGTGTGTGTGTGTGTTGGCGACGATGGTGACGGTGTGTGTACGATGATGGAAGTGGTCTCGGTAGAGGCTACACGGGGGACCTTTGTCTTTGTGCAGGTGCGACACAGTGCAGCGGCCTCGCGTCCTGCTGACCTGCGAGCGTCCAGACGCCGACCTTCGCTACACGCTCAAGTTCCAGGAAGTGTCGCCAAACTTTTTGGGCCTTGAGTTCCGTCGTCATCGTGACTACTACATCACCTGTGAGTGTGAGAACACCACTACCACTACTACATCACCTGTGAGTGTGAGAACACCACTACCACTACTACTACATCACCTGTGAGTGTGAGAACACCACTACCACTACTACCACTACTACTACTACATAACCTGTGAGTGTGAGACCACCACTACCACTACCACCACTACTACTACATAACCTGTGAGTGTGAGACCACTACTACTACTACTACATAACCTGTGAGTGTGAGACCACTACTACTACTACATCACCTGTGAGTGTGAGACCACTACTACTACTACTACATCACCTGTGAGTGTGAGAACACCACTACTCCTACCACTACTACTACTACACCTGTGAGTGTGAGACCACCACTACTACTACTACATCACCTGTGAGTGTGAGAACACCACTACTACCACCACTACTACTACATCACCTGTGAGTTTGAGACCACCACTACTACTACATCACCTGTGAGTGTGAGACCACCACTACTACTACCACTACTACTACATCACCTGTGAGTGTGAGAACACTACTACTACTACATCACCTGTGAGTGTGAGACCACTACCACTACTACTACATCACCTGTGAGTGTGAGACCACTACTACTACTACATCACCTGTGAGTGTGAGACCACTACTACTACTACTACATCACCTGTGAGTGTGAGAACACCACTACTCCTACCACTACTACTACTACACCTGTGAGTGTGAGACCACCACTACTACCACCACTACTACTACATCACCTGTGAGTGTGAGAACACCACTACTACCACTACTACTACTACATCACCTGTGAGTGTGAGAACACCACTACTACCACTACTACTACTACATCACCTGTGAGTGTGAGAACACCACTACTACTACTACATCACCTGTGAGTGTGAGAACACTACTACTACTACCACTACTACTACATCACCTGTGAGTGTGAGACCACTACTACTACTACATCACCTGTGAGTGTGAGACCACTACTACCACCACTACTACTACATCACCTGTGTGAGTGTGAGACCACCACTACTACTACTACATCACCTGTGAGTGTGAGACCACTACTACTACTACATCACCTGTGAGTGTGAGACCACCACCACTACTACTACTACATCACCTGTGAGTGTGAGACCACTACCACTACTACTACATCACCTGTGAGTGTGAGAACACCACTACTACCACCACTACTACTACATCACCTGTGAGTGTGAGACCACCACTACTACTACATCACTTGTGAGTGTGAGACTACTACTACTACATCACCTGTGAGTGTGAGACCACCACTACTACTACATCACTTGTGAGTGTGAGACCACCACTACTACTACTACATCACCTGTGAGTGTGAGACCTCCACTACTACTACTACATCACCTGTGAGTGTGAGACCTCCACTACTACTACTACATCACCTGTGTGTGTGAGACCACCACTACTACTACTACATCACCTGTGAGTGTGAGAACACCACTACTACTACTACATCACCTGTGAGTGTGAGAACACCACTACTACCACTACTACTACATCACCTGTGTGTGTGAGACCACTACTACTACTACATCACCTGTGAGTGTGAGACCACCACTACTACTACTACATCACCTGTGAGTGTGAGAACACCACTACTACTACTACATCACTTGTGTGTGTGAGACCACTACTACTTCTACTACATCACCTGTGAGTGTGAGACCACTACTACTACTACTACATCACCTGTGAGTGTGAGACCACTACTACTACTACATCACCTGTGAGTGTGAGACCACCACTACTACTACTACATCACCTGTGAGTGTGAGAACACCACTACTACTACTACATCACCTGTGAGTGTGAGACCACCACTACTTCTACTACATCACCTGTGAGTGTGAGACCACTACTACTACTACTACATCACTTGTGTGTGTGAGACCACTACTACCACTACTACTACATCACTTGTGTGTGTGAGACCACTACTACCACTACTACTACATCACCTGTGAGTGTGAGAACACCACTACTACCACTACTACTACATCACCTGTGTGTGTGAGACCACTACTACTACTACATCACCTGTGAGTGTGAGACCACCACTACTACTACTACATCACCTGTGAGTGTGAGACCACTACTACTACTACTACATCACCTGTGAGTGTGAGACCACTACTACTACTACATCACCTGTGAGTGTGAGACCACCACTACTACTACATCACCTGTGAGTGTGAGACCACTACTACTACTACTACATCACCTGTGTGTGTGAGACCACTACTACTACTACATCACCTGTGAGTGTGAGACCACCACTACTACTACTACATCACCTGTGAGTGTGAGACCACTACTACTACTACTACATCACCTGTGAGTGTGAGACCACCACTACTACTACTACATCACCTGTGAGTGTGAGACCACTACTACTACTACTACATCACCTGTGAGTGTGAGACCACTACTACTACTACTACATCACCTGTGAGTGTGAGACCACTACTACTACTACATCACCTGTGAGTGTGAGACCACCACTACTACTACATCACCTGTGAGTGTGAGACCACTACTACTACTACTACATCACCTGTGAGTGTGAGACCAGTACTACTACTACATCACCTGTGAGTGTGAGACCACTACTACTACTACATCACCTGTGAGTGTGAGACCACTACTACTACTACTACATCACCTGTGAGTGTGAGACCACCACTACTACTACTACATCACCTGTGTGTGTGAGACCACTACTACTACTACATCACCTGTGAGTGTGAGACCACCACTACTACTACTACTACATCACCTGTGTGTGTGAGACCACCACTACTACTACTACATCACCTGTGAGTGTGAGACCACCACTACTACTACTACATCACCTGTGAGTGTGAGACCACCACCACTACTACTACTACATCACCTGTGAGTGTGAGACCACTACTACTACTACTACATCACCTGTGTGTGTGAGACCACCACTACTACTACTACATCACCTGTGTGTGTGAGACCACCACTACTACTACTACATCACCTGTGAGTGTGAGAACACTACTACTACTACATCACCTGTGAGTGTGAGACTACCACCACTACTACTACTACATCACCTGTGAGTGTGATGGTAATGTGTGTGTGATGTGTGTGTGATGTGTGTGATGGTGATGATGGTGGTGTGTGATGTGTGTGTGATGGTGATGTTGCGTGTGTGTGTGCGATGACGACGTTGTGTGATGGCGATGTTGATGGTGGGTGGTGATGTTGATGGTGATGTGGGTGGGTGGTGATGGTGATGTTGATGGTGGGTGGGTGGGTGGTGATGGTGATGTTGATGGTGATGTTGATGCTGATGTTGATGCTGATGATGTTGGTGGTGATGTTGATGGTGGTGATGTTGATGGTGGTGATGTTGATGGTGGTGATGTTGATGGTGATGTTGATGGGTTACCCCACAGCCACCTCCAACGGGACGCTGGAAGGCCTAGAGAATCAGCGGGGAGGAGTTTGCCGATCTCACGCCATGAGGATCCTACTCAGGGTCGGTCAAGGTGAGTGTCGGGGAGGTCAGGGGTCACCATCAGCAGGGGTCAGCAGGGGTCAGGGTTAGTAGCGGTGGTGGTGATGGCGGTAGCGGTGGTGGTGATGGTAGCGGTGGTGATGGCGGTAGCGGTGGTGGTGATGGTAGCAGTGGTGATGGGGGTAGCGACGGTGGTGATGGCGGTGGTGATGATGGTCGCGGTGGTGATGATGGTAGCAGTGGTGATGGGGGTAGTGGCGGTGGTGATGATGGTAGCAGTGGTGATGGCGGTAGCGGTGGTGGTGATGGTAGCAGTGGTGATGGCGGTACCGGTGGTGATGGCGGTAGCAGTGGTGATGGCGGTAGCGGCGGTGATGATGGTAGCAGTGGTAAATGGGGGTAGCGATGGTTGTGATGGTGATGGCGGTGGTGATGATGGTCGCGGTGGTGATGATGGTAGCAGTGGTAATGGGGGTAGCGATGGTTGTGATGGTGATGGCGGTGGTGATGATGGTCGCGGTGGTGATGATGGTAGCAGTGGTAATGGGGGTAGCGATGGTTGTGATGGTGATGGCGGTGGTGATGATGGTCGCGGTGGTGATGATGGTAGCAGTGGTGATGGCGGTAGCGGTGGTGATGATGGTAGCAGTGGTGATGGCGGTACCGGTGGTGATGGCGGTAGCGGTGGTGAACGGGGGTAGTGGCGGTGGTGATGGTGATGGCGGTGGTGATGATGATGGTAGTGATTGGGCGTAGTGGCAGTGGTGATGTTGGTGATGGTGGTAACGGTGGTGATTTTGGTAGCGTGGTGGTGATTTTGGTAGCGTGGTCGTGATGGTTGTATCGGTGGTGGTGGTGATGATGGTAGTGGTATCGGCGGTGGTGATGATGGTAGTGGTATCGGCGGTGGTGATGATGGTAGTGGTATCGGTGGTGGTGATGTTGGTAGTGGTATCGGTGATGGTGATGATGGTAGTGGTATCGGCGGTGGTGATGATGGTAGTGGTATCGGCGGTGGTGATGATGGTAGTGGTATCGGTGGTGATGATGATGGTAGTGGTATCGGTGGTGGTGATGATGGTAGTGGTATCGGTGGTGGTGGTGATGATGGTAGTGGTATCGGTGGTGGTGATGATGGTAGTGGTATCGGCGGTGGTGATGATGGTAGTGGTATCGGTGGTGGTGATGATGGTAGTGGTATCGGTGGTGGTGATGATGGTAGTGGTATCGGTGGTGGTGATGATGGTAGTGGTATCGGTGGTGATGATGGTAGCGGTAGAGAATGGTGGTGATGGTAGCGGTAGAGAATGGTGGTGATGGTGATGGTGGTAGCGGTAGAGAATGGTGGTGGTGGTAGAGAATGGTGGTGATGATGGTGGTGGTGATGGTGGTAGCGGTAGAGAATGGTGGTGATGGTGTTGATGGTGATGATGGTGGTGGTGATGGTGATGGTGATAGCGGTAGAGAATGGTGGTGATGGTGGTGATGGTGGTAGCGGTAGAGAATGGCAGTGATGGTGATGGTGTTGATGGTGGTGGTGGTGATGGTGATGGTGATGATGATGGTGGTGGTGGTGATGGTCGTAGCGGTAGAGAATGGTGGTGATGGTGGTGATGGTGGTAGCGGTAGAGAATGGTGGTGATGGTGGTGGTGGTGATGATGATGATGATAGTGGTGGTGATGGTGGTAGCGGTAGAGAATGGTGGCAATGATGTTGATGATGGTGAGGATGGTGGTGATGGTGATGACGGTGATGATGATGGTGGTAGTAGTGGGGAGTGGTAGAGAATGGTGATAGTAGTGGTGATGATGATGGTGGTAGTAGTGTTGGTGTTGGTGGTAGTAGTAGTGGTGATGGTGATGACAGTGATGGTGATGATGGTGGTAGTAGTGGTGATGGTGGTGATGGTGATGGTGGTGATGATGGTAGTGATGGTGATGATGGTGGTGTTGATGGTGATGATGATGGTGATGGTGGTAGTAGTAGTGGTGATGATGATGGTGGTGTTGATGGTGATGATGGTGATGGTGGTGGTAGTAGTGGTGATGGTGGTAGTAGTAGTGGTGGTGATGGTGGTAGTAGTGTTGGTGTTGGTGGTGTTGGTGGTAGTAGTAGTGGTGATGGTGATGACAGTGATGGTGATGATGGTGGTAGTAGTGGTGATGGTGGTGATGGTGATGGTGGTGATGATGGTAGTGATGGTGATGATGGTGGTGTTGATGTTGATGATGATGGTGATGGTGGTAGTAGTAGTGGTGATGATGATGGTGGTGTTGATGGTGATGATGGTGATGGTGGTGGTAGTAGTGGTGATGGTGGTAGTAGTGGTGGTGATGGTGATGATGGTGGTGATGGTGGTGGTGGTAGTGGGTAGTGGTAGTGCAGCGGTGAGTGCTGCACTCCGAACCCGTCAATGACCCGAGTTTCGATTCACGCTCACGGCCAACACCGGTGACGAGCATCCAAACCGTTCCTGGGCCTCCTCCCCTAGGTCGACTCGGCCTCAAATGAGTAACTGGTGGCGGTGTGTGCAGTTATAAACATCGCCCCCGGGGGGGGGGGGAGACAAAGGCGGCCGGGCGTGGTTGCTGAGCAACCCCCACCCGCTCTGCGTGCCACATCATCGTCATGCTAACGGTGACCCCGCCCCCTGCCACGCCCCCCTGCCACGCCCCCTCTGATCCCCCCCCCCCCTCCCCCAGACCCCCGAGCCCCCGCCCACGTGACGTCTGTGACCCGGCGACCCACCCCCGGCTCCGGCTCGTCACGTGAGCCCGTGGTGATCGTGGTGCCGCCCCCACCCCACGGAGGCGGTGGGGGGGCGCCGCCCCCTACCAACCGCCCAGGTAACGCGCCCCTAGCAACGGAGGAGACACTAGCACGCCCCTAGCAACGGGGGGAGACGCTCGCACGCCCCTAGCAACGGGGGGAGACGCTCGCACGCCCCTAGCAACGGGGGGAGACGCTCGCACGCCCCTAGCGACGGGGGAGACGCTAGCCCCCCTGGCAACGGGGGAGACGCTCGCACGCCCCTAGCGACGGAGGAGACGCTCGCACGCCCCTGGCAACGGGAGAGACGCTCGCATGCCCCTAGCAACGGGAGAGACGCTCGCACGCCCCTAGCGACGGGAGAGACGCTCGCACGCCCCTAGCGACGGGAGAGACGCTCGCACGCCCCTAGCAATGGAGGAGACGCTCGGACACCCCTAGCAACGGGGGAGACGCTCGCACGCCCCTAGCGACGGGGGAGACGCTCGCACGCGCCTAGCGACGGGGGAGACGCTCGCACGCGCCTAGCAACGGGGGAGACGCTCGCACGCGCATAGCAACGGGAGAGACGCTCGCACGCCCCTAGCGACGGGGGAGACGCTCGCACGCGCCTAGCAACGGGAGAGACTCTCGCATGCCCCTAGCAACGGGGGAGACGCTCGCACGCCCCTCGCAACGGGGGAGACGCTCGCACGCCCCTAGCAACGGGAGAGACGCTCGCACGCCCCTAGTGACAGGGGAGACGCTAGCCCCCCTAGCAACAAGGGAGACGCTCGAACGCCCCTAGCGACAGGGGAGACGCTCGCACGCCCCTAGCAACGGGGGAGACGCTAGCCCCCCTGGCAACGGGGGAGACGCTCGCACGCCCCTAGCGACGGGGGAGACGCTCGCACGCGCCTAGCAACGGGGGAGACGCTCGCACGCGCCTAGCAACGGGGGAGTCGCTCGCACGCGCCTAGCAACGGGAGAGACGCTCGCACGCCCCTAGCGACGGGGGAGACGCTCGCACGCGCCTAGCGACGGGGGAGACGCTCGCACGCGCCTAGCAACGGGGAGAGACGCTCGCACGCGCCTAGCAACGGGGGAGTCGCTCGCACGCCCCTAGCAACGGGAGAGACGCTCGCACGCCCCTAGCAACGGGGGAGACGCTCGCACGCCCCTCGCAATGGGGGAGATGCTCGCACGCCCCTAGCAACGGGAGAGACGCTCACACGCCCCTAGCAACGGGGGAGACGCTCGCACGCCCCTAGCGACGGGAGATGCTCGCACACCCCTAGCAACGGGGGAGACGCTCGCACGCCCCTAGCAACGGGAGAGACGCTCGCACGCCCCTAGCGACGGGGGAGACGCTCGCACGCGCCTAGCAACAGGAGAGACACTCGCACGCCCCTAGCAACAGGAGAGACGCTCGCACGCCCCTAGCAACAGGGGAGACACTCGCACGCCCATAGCAACGGGAGACGCACGTCCCTAGCGACGGGGGAGACGCTAGCACGCCCCTAGCGACGGGGGAGACGCTCGCACGCCCCTAGCGATGGGAGACGCTAGCACGTCCCTAGCGACGGGGGAGACGCTCGCACGCGCCTAGCAACGGGGGACGCTCGCACGCCCTTAGCGACTGGAGAGACGCTCGCACGCCCCTAGCAACGGAGGAGACGCTCGCACGCCCCTAGCGACGGGGGAGACGCTCGCACGCCCCTAGCAACAGGGGAGACACTCGCACGCCCCTAGCAACGGGAGACGCACGTCCCTAGCGACGGGGGAGACGCTAGCACGCCCCTAGCGACGGGGGAGACACTCGCACGCCCCTAGCAACGGGAGACGCACGTCCCTAGCGACGGGGGGAGACGCTCGTACGCCCCTAGCGACGGGAGACGCTTGCACGTCCCTAGCGACGGGGGAGACGCTCGCACGCGCCTAGCAACGGGGGACGCTCGCACGCCCTTAGCGACTGGAGAGACGCTCGCACGCCCCTAGCAACGGAGGAGACGCTCGCACGCCCCTAGCGACGGGGGAGACGCTCGCATGCCCCTAGCAACGGGGGACGCTCGCACACCCCTAGCAACGGGGGAGACGCTCGCACGCCCCTAGCAACAGGAGGGACGCTCGCACGCCCCTAGCAACAGGAGAGACGCTCGCACGCCCCTAGCGACTGGAGAGACGCTCGCACGCCCCTAGCGACAGGGGAAACGCTCGCACGCCCCTAGTGACGGGGGAGACGCTCGCACGCCCCTAGCAACGGGGCGACCCGCGCACCCCTAGCAACGGCGGCAACTTGGTGAGGGGGCTGGGGAGACTGCTCATTGTACAACAACGATTTAATTCTGCAATTAACACCTTCTCCCCTCCACCACCACCACCACCATCACCTACCCCCCCCTCTCCACCACCAGGGGTGTCGGACCCCCGCAGCGGCGTGGGGGAGGGGCCGGGGCCGGGGCCGGGGGGAGAGACGTTGCTCGGCTCTGACGTGGCGCTCATTGTGGGCGTGGCCAGCGGCTGCCTCATCTTCCTCCTCCTCGCCCTCTTCCTCCTCCTCTTCCTGCTGCGCCAGAGGCGACGCAGCAACCACCACCACCACAACCACCACCACGGCAACAACAACCACAACAACAGCAACCACCAGCAGCAGCAGCAGCAGCAGCACGGCCACCACAACCACCACAACTACAACCACAACAACCACCACAACCACTACAACCACCACCACCAGCAGCAGCAGCAGCAGCAGCAGCAGCTGGCACCTCTCTACCGGGGCTTGGTGAGCGGCCGTAAGAGCGGCCACCATCACCACCACCATCACCACCACGGCGGTGGCGGCGGTGGCGGCGGCGGTGGCGCCATGCACCACCTGCTGCACCACCAGGCCCCGCTGCGCCACCCTGGGCCCTACTCGCTCACCACGCTCGCCAATGCCCGGCGGGCCGTGTCTCTGTCGGCCGGCGGCGGCGGCGGCGGCGGCGGCCACCCGCCAGCGCCGCTGCCGCTGCCCTCGCCCGGCCCCCTGGCGCCGCCCCCTCTCCCCCCCTCCTCCTCCGGCACCGCCACCTCCTCCACCTCGTCGTCGTCGTCGTCGTCGTCCCGGGGGCCGTGCGCCACCACGGGAGGGGGAGCGGCGGCTCGCTGCGGTAGCGGCGGCGGTGGCAGCGGTAGCGGCGGTGGCGGCGGTAGCGGCGTGTCGTCGTCCACCTCGCTGCTCGGCGCCGAACGGCTCGCCGGGGTCGTGGGGGGCGAAGGGGCGGCAAGGAGGAGTTTGTCCCTGGCGTCGGCCGCGGGGGCGTCGGGCACGGAGGCGAGCGACGTCCTCGTCGCGCTGAGGCCCGCGTCGGCGGTGCTGGCGGCCGCGGCCGGGGGGGGGCGCCGGAGGGCTCGTCGCGGGGGGCCCAGGTGCCCCCCACTACGAGAAGGTGAGCGGCGACTACGGCCACCCCATCTACATCGTGCAGGGCCCCGACCGCAGCCCCTCCAACGTCTACTACAAGGTGTGAGAGGCGGTGGACGTGGCGGCGGAGGCGACGGGGAGGGGAGGAGGCGGAGGAGGAGGAGGCCTTCATCTAGCAGTGGATAGACCCTGGCCGACGATGTTGGTGGAGGCTATGGGAGGCCTTTGCCGAGCAATGGATAGACTCTGCCTGATGGTGGTGGCTTATGGGAGGCCATCATCATCCGGCAGTGGAGAGGCCCTGGAAGATGGTGGTGGTGGCGGCGACCGCGGTCATGGTGGAGGCTAGCGGGGGGCGGGGGGGGGAAGAGGTGGTGGGCGACGATGGACGTGGGAGGGACGCGTTGCTTGAGATGCAGCAGACGACGATGACGACGATGATGATGATGATGATGAAGAAGATGATGCTAAGGATGTCGGCGGTTGAGGATGGAGTCGAAGAGAAGAGGGTGGAGTGACGGGTGGGAGATGCGACAGCGTTGGACCCCTGTGTCGGGATGAGATCTGGTCAGTTGTGGGGTTCTGGCCCCGGTGTTCTCCCGGGTCCCAGGTGGAACCGGAGTGGATTCCCGTCTGGTCTCCGGACGGGCCAAGGGGTCGCAACGCGTCGACGATCCCCCCCCCCCCCAACCAACCCTGATCTCCCCGACTCGGTAGCACCCAGAGCTCGCATTGTGCCAACGAAGGGGACCGTGGGTTTTGGCGGGGCCACAGAGACGAAGACACGCACACACGCACGCACGCACGCACGCACGGGAGCCTACGCACACGATTTGATGCTGAGTCTGGGTGGCGGGGTGGTGGGTGGGTGTTTGGTGTGTCGTGTGTGGATTGTCCTACGCCATGAAGACTCCAAGAAAGAAAAAAAAAACGACGGTCTATCGTTCTGGAGGGTGACCTGCGATTCGTTTCTAGGAACCCGTTTTCCTAACTGGTTTCGAGGAGGGGGTAGGGAGGAACCCTCCTTGGGCCCCAAAGTATCTCGTAGGGACCAAAGCCCCCCCCCCCCCTCCCTCCCTCCTCGGGATGTGGGAAGGGGAGGGGGCGGTTAACGGAACAGAACCTGAGGCCAGCTCAAGAAGTTTTAGTCTGGTGGACCAAAAACGGTGCGTTTTGATGGTTTGTTTATTATTTTTAAACCGACGGAGACTTTGTTACAAACTGGCGTGGGTGTGGGTGGGGTAAGGGTAGTGGGTAGGGGGGTGATGTTTGTGCCAAAGATCCACCCACCGTGTGGCCTGTAACAGGTTGTCAGGGCAAGTGTTGTTAGTGAGTAGGCCGGCACGGTGCACGATGGAGTGGGTGGCCAACACCACACCTTGGTCTCCCCCGAGTGGCGATGTTTACTCTACACATTGCCCCAGGTGCTCATTTGAGGCCGAGTTTGACCGAGGGGGGGAGGGAAGGCTCCATAACTGATTCAGATTGAATTATCACCAAGTGTTTGCGCCGGCCGTGAGCGGAGAATCGAACTCGGGTCTCGCTGGGCTCGTGGCACAAACGTGCAGCGTTAACCGCGTCGACACCGCCACTCTCCCCATCGCTGCCACCACCACCCCCAGCACCACCACCGACACGGCCAGCACCGACATTGCCAGCACCGACACTGCCACCGCCACGGTGATGTCGGGGGGGGCCTTTGTGCGTTGCGGTTTTGTGGTTTATTGTTTGCGTATTTTTTTTTCTGTAAGCCGCCACCGCGGTTAAAGGTGGACGCTGCGTGGTGGCGGTCGTGGGCGGTGGTGGTAGCCAGTGGGCGGTGGTGGTAGCCAGTGGTCGTGGCTGCAATAGTGGTGGCGGCAGCGATTATGGTAGTGCCAGTAGCGGTGGTGGTGGTTGGGGTTTATGATGCACTTCCCCCCCCCCCCCCCACCCCTTACTGACGGTCGCGTGCCCGGACGAGCCCCCAGTGAACGTTGTTCTGACCACCGCATTGCCCTCCATCCCCCCCCCCCCCCCCCCATGCCGAATATATTTATTTTACTCTGCGATGTCGATAACGCCGACGATGATGATTCTCGTTTTGATTTGGTTCCTGATGATTTATAATATTAATTGTCGTCGTGTGTTCTCGCGCCGTTTATATATATCTATGTTTGTTAATATCGTTACGTTGTATGGAGAGGCGCGCGAGGGGGGCATTTTGGAAGACTTTTTTTATTGGGGCGCCGAGGTTTTTGACCCCTCGCACCTGCCCATTTATTTTCTTGCAGCTTTATTTTATTTTATCACTCGATTTTATGTTACAATTTTTCTCACTTTAGCACAAATACTGGAAGCTTTGTAAAATACGTCTTCGCTTCCGTACCCACGAGTGCCATGACAAGATTACGAAACGGTGGACAGGAGCAACGTGAGTGAGAAGTGACGGGCACCTAACGTTGGCTCAATGTTAAAGACGTCGTCCAGGGCCAGCTTCGGTCCCGACCCGCATCGGGCGCGTGATTGGACGCTCCTGGTCCAATCGGGTTGGGTCCAATCGAAAGCTTCGGTTAAACCCGGGTCCGGCGCGTGATTGGATAATTTTTGGTCCAATCAAAAGCTCTCTCCGGTCCAACCCCGGGTCCGGCGCGTGATTGGATGTTTTTGGTCCAATCAAAAGCTCTCTCCGGTCCAACCCCGGGTCCGGCGCGTGATTGGATATTTTTGGTCCAATCAAAAGCTCTCTCCGGTCCAACCCCGGCACCGGCGCGTGATTGGACCAATGTCCAATCGCGCCCTGGACCCTGGGTTTGATTTCCCCGTCCCCCAGGTCGACTCGGCCTGAAATGAGCACCTGGCACGGTGTTGTAAAAATGTCAGCACTGGGGGGAGACAAAGGCGGCCGGGCGTGGTAGCTTGGCCACCGACGGTCTGCTAATGCTATACGGAGCGGAGGGGAAATTTGTCCTTTGTTTCTAGTTTGGGCCGGGAAAAAAACCACTGGAACTTTTATACGGAAAAAGGAAACTTCCCTTTGAAGGTCTAGAAGCTCAAGCGATGGCAATATTATTATAGGAGTAAAGTTACACTAATACCTAGTATTATAATAATGCTACGTATTACTACCGTGCTGTTGCGTATCACTATGCTACAATACGTGTAACCGTTATTGTAAAATATTGTTTTAATAACGGTTATGATAACGCTATTGGTATACTATTATGATAGTATGCCAATGACATTGTTATATAATGTTATGATGATGATGATGTTTGTCGCAGGCAGTGGTGTTGGGGAGGTTGTGGGGGTCGCGGGTCAGAGCCCCCCCCTCCCCCATCTCTAGGTCGTGCCACTGCTGGATGAGACCCTCCCACTGGCGTCTCTACCTCCCCCCCCCCCCCTTCTGTGAGGTGTAAGGAGGTGTAAGGAAGGATATCTGTCGATCTTTTTTTGGACGTCGCTCGTTTTGTAAAGGAAAGAATAAAAGGGAAGTGAAACTTCGTCGGCCGACGCGTCTCGTGCCGGCTCTCTGCGGGGAATGAGAGGAGGAGGAGGTGGAGGAGGTGGTGGAGGAGATGGTGGAGGAGGGAGATGGAGGAGATGGAAGTGGAGGGAGATGGAGGAGGAGATGGAGATGGGGGAGATGAAAGAGGTGGAGGGAGATGGAGATGGAGGTGGAGGGAGATGGAGATGGAGGGAGATGGAGGTGGAGGGAGGTGGAGGTGGAGGGAGATGGAGGTGGAGGGAGATGGAGGTGGAGGGAGATGGAGGAGGAGATGGAGATGGAAGTGGAGGGAGATGGAGGTGGAGGGAGATGGAAGTGGAGGGAGATGGAGGAGGAGATGGAGATGGAGGAGATGGAGGAGGAGGGAGGAGGAGGAGGAGGAAGGAGGTGGCAAGTCTCTCCCACCACACTTTCCATCCATGCTGATTGTAGGCGCGGTGGTAGTGGAGGAAGAGATGATGGCGGTGATAACGGTGGTGTGTGAACTTCTTTCGCACCGTACGTAACCAACCGTGCCAACCGGAAGTGTGATATAATGATGATGGTGATGGGAGTGATTTTCATTATGGTGATTGATGATGATGGTGATGATGATGGCGATGATGATGATGATGATGACGATGGAGATGTTGATGGTGGTGATGGTGGTGATGATGGTGGTGATGATGGTGATGGTGGTCATGGCGGTGGTCATGGCGATGTTGATGGTGGTGATGATGGTGGTGATGGTGGTCATGGCGATGTTGATGGTGGTGATGGCGATGTTGATGGTGGTGATGGCGATGTTGATGATGGTGGTGATGGTGGTGATGGTGATGTTGGTGGTGGTGATGGTGATGTTGATGGTGGTGATGTTGATGATGATGGTGGTGATGTTGATGGTGGTGATGGCGATGGTGGTGATGATGGTGATGTTGATGTTGATGATGGTAGTGATGGTGATGATGGTGGTGATGGCGATGTTGATGTTTTTATTGTCGAGTTCTCGCTGCCGAAACTCCACGGAGTGATTTCAGCATCACCACCACGGTCTATCCACTGCTGGATGAGGATCAATGCGATGGTGATGGTGGTGGTGTCTCTACCCCGCGTGTGGTCTCTAATACACGTGACTCCTCTCTCTGTCTCCCAGTGTCATCATCGTCACCGTGGTCTATCCACTGCTGGCTAGGGGAGATGTTGACTACCTCGCCTGGTACGCAGGAGGTCGTGGGTTTGATCCAGACCCTGACGATGCCTGCTGCTGCTGTATATTTGAAGTCTGCGTCTCTCTCATCATCATCATCATCATCACGGTGGCTATGAGATGTTGACTACCTCGCCTGGTACGCAGGAGGTTGTGGGTTCGATCCCGACCCTGACGATGCCTGCTGCTGTATATTTGAAGTCTGCGTCTCTCTCATCATCATCACGGTGGCTAGGAGATGTTGACTACCTTGCCTGGTACACAGGAGGTCGTGGGGTTGATCCAGACCCTGACGATGCCTGCTGCTGCTGCTGTATATTTGAAGTCTGTGTGTCTCTCTCATCATCACCACGGTGGCTAGGAGATATTGTTCCCTCCACACTTAGCATCAACGTCATTGGGCCGATATAAATGCCCAGATTCGTTGAGCTATCATTTGTTGATGGGCAGGTCCTCTTCTGAAAAAAAACCCATCTACTACATACCATCATTAGACCGCCTTTGCCAGTACCAACAAATAATCATGGGGGTTTTCCATTTTTTTTTTATCTGGCAACAAAACTGAAACCTTCTTCCAAGGAATCATCTTACTGCATTAACCACAATGCGCTTGTGGTCAAAATGCAAACAAATAACACACTCTGGTGATATTGTGTTTTGGTACTGGCAGAGGAGCAGGAGTGGAGCCACGGGGGGGGGGGGCTTGCCCCCCCCCCTGAAATTTTGGGAACGTCGGTCATCGGGATAACCGGATATCCGGCTGCTGCACATTGCTGCAGGCTGCTGTCACCTCGTGCTGTCACCTCGTGTGCTGCCCTGCAGGCTGCTGTCACCTCGTGCTGTCACCTCGTGTGCTGCCCTGCAGGCTGCTGTCACCTTGTGTGCTGTCACCTCGTGCTGTCACCTCGTGCTGTCACCTCGTGCTGTCACCTCGTGTGCTGCCCTGCAGGCTGCTGTCACCTCGTGTGCTGTCACCTTGTGCTGTCACCTCGTGCTGTCACCTCGTGCTGTCACCTCGTGTGCTGCCCTGCAGGCTGCTGTCACCTCGTGCTGTCACCTCGTGCTGTCACCTCGTGTGCTGCCCTGCAGGTTGCTGTCACCTCGTGCTGTCACCTTGTGCTGTCACCTCGTGTGCTGCCCTGCAGGCTGCTGTCACCTTGTGTGCTGTCACCTCGTGCTGTCACCTCGTGCTGTCACCTCGTGTGCTGCCCTGCAGGCTGCTGTCACCTTGTGCTGTCACCTCGTGTGCTGCCCTGCAGGCTGCTGTCACCTTGTGCTGTCACCTCGTGCTGTCACCTCGTGCTGTCACCTTGAGCTGTCACCTCGTGTGCTGCCCTGCAGGCTGCTGTCACCTTGTGCTGTCACCTTGTGCTGTCACCTTGTGCTGTCACCTTGTGCTGTCACCTCGTGTGCTGCCCTGCAGGCTGCTGTCACCTCGTGCTGTCACCTCGTGTGCTGCCCTGCAGGCTGCTGTCACCTTGTGTACTGCCCTGCAGGCTGCTGTCACCTCGTGCTGCCCTGCAGGCTGCTGTCACCTTGTGCTGTCACCTCGTGCTGCCCTGCAGGCTGCTGTCACCTTGTGCTGTCACCTTGTGTACTGCCCTGCAGGCTGCTGTCACCTTGTGCTGTCACCTCGTGCTGTCACCTTGTGTGCTGTCACCTTGTGTGCTGTCACCTCGTGTGCTGCCCTGCAGGCTGCTTGAGCGGCAGCCTTTCGAACTTCTCGAACTGATCAGCCACGTCAGCGGCTCCGACCTATGAATAAAACGTCCGCGTTCGAATCCAATAAAGTTTGTTTTATATGGATTTGTGTGGCGCCCATTGGGAAACATGAACGCACTGAGATATCTCTCAGAACATTGAAGTCAGCCCCCCCCCCCAAAGTCAAAATCCTGGCTGCAAAGGAGGTCTAATGATGTAGACGTTTACCCAGAGGGCCTCGTTACTCTCATTGTGGCATTGTCTTTGAGATGCACAGCGAGGGAAAACAAGTATTTGGTCCCCTGCTGATTTTGTACGTTTGCCCACAGTGACAAAGAAATGATCGGTCTATAATTTTAATGGTAGGTTTATTTGAACGGTGCGAGACAGAATAACAACAACAACAAAATCCAGAAAAACGCATGTCAAAAATGTTATAAATTGATTTGCATTTCAATGGGGGAAATAAGTTTTTGGCCCCCTCTCAATCAGACAGATTTCTGGCTCCCAGGTGCCTTGTATACAGGTAACGAGCTGAGATTAGGAGCACACCAATCAGTTTCAAGGACAATGCATCATCTTATCAGCGTGTTTTTTTTGTTGGTATTTTGACCACAAATTGTGGTTAATGCAGTAAGATGACTCCTCGTAAAAATATTTCAGTTTAGTTGCCAAAAAAAACCAGTGGAAAACACCCCTATTATTCTTATTATTATTCCACTACATAGCAGCTTCATCGGAGCCCTTACCTGGCGAAATAACAAATCGTGACATCGTATTTAGGGTATTTGTCTGCTCCTGTAAATATCCATGCGATGATGATGATGATGCCGAGAAGCCAGATTCGTTGAGCTATCATTAGCGATGGCCAGCTCGCTTCTGAACTGAATAATAAAAACAAGCTACTGCGCAGCCGCTTCCGTAGGTGCCCTTACGCCTGTTAAAATAAAATAAAATAGTTTCAGTTTACGAGACGTGACCTTTGGTGACCTCTCCGAGTTCATCACCACGTGTCAAACTCTGCTCGCTGCCCTGTCGCTCCCTCCCCTCTCTCTCTCCCCCTCTCTCTCCCCCTCTCTCTCCCCCCTCTCTCTCTCTCTCCTCTCTCTCTCCCCCTCTCTCCTCTCTCTCCCCTCTCCCCCTCTCTCTCTCCCCTCTCCCCCTCTCTCTCTCCCCTCTCCCCCTCTCTCTCTCTCCCCTCTCCCCCTCTCTCTCTCTCTCTCCCCTCTCCCCCCTCTCTCTCCCCTCTCCCCCCCTCTCTCCTCTCTCTCCCCTCTCCCCCTCTCTCTCTCCCCCTCTCTCGGTGTAGTCGGCACTTTGCTCCGTTCATCATTTCGTTTTTTTTTGTTTTTTTAATGCTTTGCTTTATGTACCCCCCCCCCCCTTTTAAATGAAAGACCTAAAAAAAAAAATATTTCCCCTTCCCTCTCTCTCTACCCCCTCTCCGCCCCCCCTCTCTCTCTACCCCCTCTCCGCCCCCCCCTCTCTCTCTCTGCCCCCTCTCTTCCTACTCCATTTGGCTCTCTCTCGCTCTCTCTTTTTTCTTTATAACTACGACAAGTGCTGCATCTGCCCGCAGCCCTTCCCGCAGTCAGACGGCCTCCGACGGGGTAGCTCACAATGTGCACGCACAGAGCTCTCTACCGTCATCTGCCACCGAGCACGCGGCCCTCCTCCAGCTGCCCACCGCTCCTTGAAGGCCGGCACGGCGTGGGTCAGCCGCGCCGCACGGCGGAACCCCGGGCCCACACCGCACCCTGGCTCCGACCGGAGCGTGGAAGATGCCCCAGGGCTGCTGGCCGGACGTCGCCCCTCCAGGGCCACCTTCCTCGCCCTGTGTGCACGGCGAGCTTGGCGTGGCCGAAGAGAAACGTTGACCGGCCCCTGGAGATGTTGGGGTCCGTCGCCCTTCGGGTATCCGAAGATGAGGACCGTCGGGGGGAGAGGTGGAGGCTGAACCTTAGGAGGATGTTTCTCGGGACCTTGAACACAGCGAGTTCCAGGCTCTCGCACTCCACGTATTGGTGCGCCACCGTCTCCACTTTACCGCAGGACCGGCACTCCGGGGACGTGTCGGTGAAGCGCGCCGGGGAGACGTCGGTGGTGACG